CTCTTTGTCCCGGGGGCTGCGGGTGGGTGCCGGGGCAGTCGTTTGGGTGCCAGCCTGGTGGTCTGTCCTTGTTTAAGGAGCTCTTAGAGCTTTCAGGGGAACCGCGAGTTTCTTGGCCTGCTGAAATTTTGGGCCTGTAGTTTGGTCAAAATTGGTCCCCCTGGAAGCAATTTGCGTGCCCCCGGATAGCAAGGCTGTGAGGGATTTACCCGCACGTTGATGCATGTGACCGCATTGATGCGGGGGAACGATCAGCTTTAGACCTGGAGGTGCAGAGAAAGCCTTTAATTTTGCATTCATGGTGTTTGAGCTTTAATTTGAAACTGCAGGTACCAGTATCTGTCTGGACCAGAAAGTTATTCTGGGGCTTTCCAGAAAGTGCTGTGGCATTTTTAGCATCTCTCCGGAGGAGTGTGTCAGTACTTCTCCCATGTACGTTTGGAGCATGCTGCTTTTCTCATGAAGGCAGAACAGTGGTTGTTGGAGTAAGCACTGCCAAATTCTGCATCCTTGCTGAATCTGTAGGGTTGTTTCACAGGAGAATACAGCACAGCTTCTGGATGCTCCAGTCTGTGTTTGTGCAGAAAAACAAAACAACTGTGGTATGTCAGCACATTGAGTGGGGTGTACATGCTTAAAAGCAGTGCTGTGAGTAGCTGCTCAGGATTGAACATCGGAAAGCTTTATTAAATCCTGTGTGTACTGTTACGTGTGAGTGACTGTGTTTGACATGGTGATCTTCACCATGCTTTTTTGAGGGGTTTTTTTTGATCATGGAAATCCTTAATAACTTATGGTACGGAAAGCTATGGTGTCTGGTAGCTGCTTTGACACGTATAGATATTTTACTGGAACCAAGAGGAATCTGGGATCTGCTAACATAAATTCAACCATATTACTCTTATTCCATTGAAGTAAGTGGAAAATTACTGTTTCAGACTGAGCTAATGCATAAGCATTAATAAAACTGGAGCCTACATAATCTTTCAATTAATATACTATAACTGTATTCTGTTATTTTGGGTGTATGATGGGCTATGAACAGCCGGTTTTGATTAAGGTGCAAGTACGTAGGTCTCAATGCTTGTATGTTTAAGTAATTGAGGATTTCATTTGTGTGTCTTCCCTCCAGAAAATCGTGAGGATATGCTGAGTTCCAGGAGCAACAGACTGACAGAAGCTTTGGAAGAAGCCAATGAACTGTTCAGTGGAGGTAAAACAATTTCTGTGGTCCTTACTAGAGGTGTTTGCTTGACAGTTGGCCAGGTGTGAGGCGGTAACGCCTTATACACAAAAAAGGGCAAGAGAATGAAGTTGAGGTCCTGATTTAATAATCAGAATTATTAAAGTGTTACTTGAAATACACATGTTTAGTTGAAAAGGTGTAATGGGTTTACATGGCAAAGTTTTAGTAGTGGGGGGGCTGCAGGGGCAGCTTCTGTGAGAAGCTGCTAGAACCTTCCCCCATGTCCGATGGAGCCAAGGCCAGTCAGCTCCAGGACGGACCCGCCGCTGGCCAAGGCCGAGCCCATCAGCAACAGTGGTGGCGCCTCTGGGATAACGGATTTAAGGAAGGGGGAAAAGTTATTGCGCAGGAGCAATTGCAGCCAGCGAGAAGAGTGAGAATATGTGAGAGAACCGGCTCTGCAGGCACCAAGGTCAGGGAAGAAGGAGAGGGAGGAGGTGCTCCAGATGCTGGAGGACCCCACGCCAGAGCAGGTGGATGCCCGAAGGAGGCTGTGACCCTCTGGGAAGCCCTCACTGGAGCAGGCTTCTGGCAGGACCTGTGGCCCTGTGGAGACAGAGGAGCCCACGCTGGAGCAGGTTTGCTGGCAGGAGTTGGGACCCTGTGGGGGACCCACCCTGGAGCAGTCTGTTCCTGTGGGACTGCACCCCGTGGAAGGGACCCACGCTGGACCAGTCTGAAGGACTGCAGCCCGTGGGAAGGACTCATGTTAATGAATGGCTCTTACACCTACAGTAAGCACCATGGTGTAATCTTTCTTTCACATGAAAATGTAAAATGTACTAAAGTCTTAAGTGAAAAGGCACTTTATAGAACAGTGCATTTCTCTAATATAAAAAAAATAGTTAAGTGATATATCATGTTTTGATGGGAGGAGGAGATGGAGAAATTGGGAGTGAAGCTGAGCCTGGGAAGAAGGGAGGCGTGGGGGGGATGGTGTTTTAAGATTTGGTTTTATTCCTCATTACCCTTCTCTGATTTGGTTGGTGGTAAATTGAGGTAATTTCCCCAAGTAGAGTCTGCTTCGCCCATGACAGTAATTGCTGACTGATCTCTCCCTGTCCTATCTCAACCCACGAGCCTGTCGTATTTTCTCTCCCCTGTCTGGCTGAGGAGGGGAGTGATAGAGCGGCTGGGGTGGGCGCCTCGTGTCCAGCCAGGGTCAACTTACCATGAGAGAAATTGTTTGGATCAGTTGATATGAGAAGATAAATACCATTACTTTGGTGTTTGTTTCTGTTTAGAAATACTCCTTGCTTTACCTTGACTCTGTAGGACAATATATGTGAGCAGTCCATACAAAAGATATCATTGCAGAGGGGTTCATTTCACTTGGAGAGATGGAAAACATGTCAGTGAAATGTGCATTTTATTCTGTAAGATAGTATGTTATTTTTCCATGCTTGCCTTTGTCAGGGTCATCCTCTCCTTTTCTTTCTCTCCCTCTTTTTTTTTTTTAATGCAAATATTATTATAAGGATTATGTAAGTAAGTGTGTTAGAGGTCATTGCAATAAAATGACTTACAAAGCTTTACACGCAGGATAGTCTGTGTGCTAAATTTTATAGTATATTTTTGACAATTTCATACTATTAACATAAAATCTGTTCTGTAACAGTTTCCTGTGCGCGAGAGGCTGTGCTGGATGCCCAACTTCTTGTCTTAGTGTCGAATCTAGGAAAGGAGAAGGCCAATGAGTTGCACTCTGACATGACAGCGTTTGATTCAGTAGTGTTTGCAGAAGACTTGGTGAGTTCCAGGCTCTGAATTTGCCAACAATTTTGCTAGAGGTTTGCTCTGTTTGTTACAGAATCGTAAAATAAAAGCCTCAGATTGTGAGGCAGTACGTGACAGTTCTGATGGAATTTAACACTCTTCCTATGGATTTCTTGGATTAACTCTCTGGTTAGTGTTCTTCACTGTTTTAAAGTATGTGTTAAGCATTTCCAGAATGCGTACGGGAAAATCTGACTTAAAACAGAGATATCCCCCCCATTGTTGCATTGCTGCTGTTTTATCACAGTTCAGTCAGTTCGTGCTCTTAAGGTCTTGTGCATTTTTTTATACCCACCGTTCTGTAGTTTTCCAGTAGCCAAGTCATTTGTTTATCCTGTCTGCTGCTGTGTATGTTTTTGGGTGGAGTTCTCGAAGCCCTGTGGCACTGACATGAAGTGGGACTTTGGGTCCCTTGCTTGCTTTCAGACTTGACGTGTTTGTCCCTTTGTACTGTGACTGGGTGGAAGAGTCAGTTCAGGATAGCTTTGAAGCAGCCTGTTTTTTCTTTTTTTTCCTTTTTTCCTCCCTGAAAATTTCCTCTTATGTTACTGCAGATTAATGAGGAGGCCAAGTCTTTGGTCAAGTCTAGAACTCTGCATATAAAAAACCATCAAGTTCCATTGCTTTATTGAAGTTTTTCCTGGGGAAGTCTGGATTGGTGGATGCAGGGTTGGGCCAAATAAGTTGTTTTAGGGTATTTGAGGAGCTAAGCTTCCTGGAAGGGTGTGGTGGTCAGAAACTCTGAGACATCTTAGCTTTATAGTGCAATTTAAATAATACTTTGCTACCTCGCACATCGTTGAAATTCTATTGGAATATAGGCAGTTCTATTTACTTGTAGCTCTCTTTGTCATTGCTTGCTGAACACAAAACATCTGTATGTGAGTGTTTTTCTGTTCTCACATTATCATCAGGAAAGTCAAGGCTCTTGTGCAGTGATATTAAATATTAATCTAGCTGGACAAACACCATAATACAGTGTTTCACCGTTAACATAGCTACTGATCTTCCTCTGAGTGGACTTTCATTGCAGCTTTTTTCTTTTTTTTCTTTAGTTAACCTTCATGGGTATAAATCGCATAGAGGTAGAAGAAAATGACAGTGATTCTGAGGACGTTTCAGGTGGCTATTTACCTGGTGATGCCTGGCATAAACTGGGAGAAGAAGCAGGAAAGTACTTCAGAAGAGCACCTTCTTTTCACTATATGTAAGTTTGTTTAAGGAAATAGTATATACTGCAGCACAAGCTAATGGCCTTAACTGATTCTTATCTTTAATGCCCTGGGCTTGACAGAGTTTAATCTTGGGTCACAGAGTGTCAACGAGAACTTCTGTGTGATTTCTTGGGCTACAGTGACCTCCTTGTCTCCAAAATTTTTCCCAATATTTCTGTCTTTGATTTTGATTTGCCTTGGCTACAAAATACCATCACTTGTATCTAGTAGAGATAGCAAAGTATTCTTGATTTACCCGTTTCAGACCAAAACCTGTAGAAGTGATTCGCTTTCCTTTAAGAGCTGACTCTTCCCTCATCTTCCTCCCCCTCTACAAGCTGCAGCCAGAATCATGAATAGGGGAAGGATTTTTTTCTATTTTTTTTTGTGTCTCAGGCAGTTATGGAAGGTCAGCCTGCCAGGGTCTGTATCTTTTACCTGATGATTGTCTTATCGTGCAGACACCAACAGTACTTCCTGTACGTCTGTGTTAATGGGTTGTCTTTCAGGATCGTGCTTTCTGGCTCTGCCTTCAGAAGAAACCGCCTGATTTGGCGAGTGGCCGTATGTAGAAACAGCGTCATCCCTCCTTAGAATCATCAAATAGTTTGTGTTGGAAGGGACTTTTAAAGGTCATCTAGTCCAAGCCCCCTGCAGTGAGCAGGGACATCTTGAACTAAATCTGGTTGCTCCTTATGCCTAGGCATTTAGTAGGAGCTTTTTTAGCTGCTGTCAAATGACTCTTGGTCACCTGGCTTGTAGCCGGCGCTCCAATCTAAATCTCTCTAGTCAGCCTACAATGGCAGGATCTTGTCCACTTGAGTTATCAACAGTAGAGCTGATAGAATGTTTTTCAGCTGTCTGTACTTTTGCACTTCTTCCTCCTCCCAGTAAGTATCGCTGTAATTGTTAGGAAGTTGCTGAATCATTTGATCATACAGTGTAGATATGGTGTATATATAATAGGCAGGATATTTAATGTTGGGTAGCTCATTGAGGTATTTCAAACTTCTGTTTACGCTTCCGAGCTGTAAGCTCTAAAAGGTAAGTGTATTTTCCAGTCACTTTTGTGATCTAAGGACGAAACTGGCTGCAGGAAAGGCTTTTCTCATTAGTTGCGTTTTGACATCTTAAGTAACAATGGGCTTCTTTTGATGGAGGATGTGTGAATGTTCTCCAAGTCTTAATTTTCAATCGTAAAGTGTAGTTTTCAGTTTAGGAAAAGAGCTGCTTATTTCTGACTCCATCTATTATCTGAGGCCTGAGGGTTGGTGTATTTTCATAGTCAGTTGGTGACTTGTGAATTTGAGCAGTTGCAACTTGCCTAAGTTAGGGAA